ATTAGAGCCTCCTGGTCCCTCCCAAAAGGCCATTTTGAGGACATACACAGCCAATATATTTATATATAAATCCATGTCCGGTATCTGACCGTGGCACCTCGGGAGCTACGTCGTCCTTGTGTTTGCCCTGAACTCTCCTTTGTCCACAACACCCTCGTCCTGGGGTCTCACAGAGAATGCAGCCTCCATAGCTCCTTGGAGCTGGGACTGGAGTGAAGGCAGGGACTGACTGGGTGGGCAGAGAAGGGAGACAGGCTCTACGGAGGCCCAGACCCACCCCAAGCCACCCGGCCCTTGCCCCAGCACATCAAAGGAGCTCTAATCTCCACCCAAATCCCCTCCCACCAGCAGTGGACAGGAAGTGAGGCGAGACTGCAGGGAGAGGATGGCTCTCGGCTGGGCACAGAGAAACTGCTGAAGGCAGGCACGGGACAGGAGGTGGCTGCATGAGGGCTCCCTTCTGTCGTCTGGGAGGAGCTTCTAGTCTTCTATCACCCCAAGCTCTGGATGAGGAGGAACGGAGAGGTGAAGTGCCCATACAAGCAAGTTGCGTGAGGTCACAGCGAATCCTTCTGTGAGCACCAACCCCCGATTTGAAACACTCTGCTTGGGAGAGGCTGCTGGACACCGTTAGCTTGGTGTGCCTTTGCCAGTCAGAGGATGATGTTCCTGCTGATGAGGAGCTGAGAGTAAAGATGGTCTGCTGTGAAGGAGCGCTGTGCCTGAGGCCCAAACACAAGGAGCTGAGGCTTGTCCAGGAAGAAGAGGACGTTGCCCGCCAAAAGGGCTCGGAGAAAGATGGCACCGGAACTTCCTTCTCCTCGTCCCATGGGTAGCAGCAGGGATCTCTACGAGCTGGCCAGGTGTTCCACCTGGATGGTGCTGGTGGTGACAGTGAGGCAGATGTCCTTATGATGCTCCGCTGTCTTATAGGGGGTCAGGTCAAAGGAGCACTGGGGCGGAGGGTTGGGGTTGCTATCCCCACCGCCCCCACCCTGGGGAGCTGCCCCAGGGGACTGGAAGTGTGGTGGCTGTGGTTGCTGTTGCTGCTGCGAAGCCTGGGAGACCTGGGCCTGGACCTGGGCCTGAGCCTGAGCTTGAGCTTGGGCCTGGGCTTGGGCCACTGCCGCCGCCGCCGCCGCCGCCTGTACTTGTTGCTGGAGATCAGGAGGGTTGTGTTTGCGCATGTGTTTCATAAGGTATGTTTCCTGAGAGACAGTAAAAAGAAGTTGAGTGGTCAAAGGGAAGGAGTTTACTTGTAATCAGCATCCTGGGCTTTTGCCCTACGTCACATGGAGAACCTTTATAGAGACAGAGTCCCGCGTTGGGAGCAAGTAGAATTCAAGTAGCCCTTCAGGCTCATTGTCCCGTAGAAGTCAGCTACCTTTAGAGGGCCCTGTGGACAATCGATGGCAGAGGGAAAGCTGCCACTTTTTTAAGAATGTCTGAATGAGCACCTTTACCTTTTTCTGAAGTCTAACAGAAAATACTTAAAATCTTTCTCCCTAAACATTGTAAGTGGTTTTATTTTGCCTCATGTTTAAGTAAAATGGAGAATCAAAGATGGGCATGGTGGTGCATGCCTGTAATCCCAGCACTGGGGAGGCTGAGGCAGGACTGCAGCGAGTTAAGAGTCAGCCTGGACTACATAGCAAGACCCTGTCTCAAAAAACCAAACCAAACCAAACCAAACCACTGCTTATCACTCATCACAGGCTACGGGGATCAGGCAATCCCAAATCCCTCAGATGCAGGCCTCCTCATTTTTATCTCTGAACCTGGTTTGGTTTGCAAACAGACCTTTATCCAGGAGGGGCACAGCACACTGCAGCCTAACGATGTGGAGGAAGCCGCATACTCACCGACGTGTATGCCCGACTGCAGATCGTGCAGGTGTACACCTTGGCGTGCTTCACTGTGTGCGTGGACAAGTGCACCTCTAGTGAGGCGGCGTCCGTGTACGCCCGATGACAATTGTGGCACTTGAAGGGTTTATCTTTGTTGTGCTGCCGTCTGTGGGACTGAGACGGCCAGGAGAAAGCAGGGTGAGTGTGCAGTGCACTCCCCTCCACTCCTCCTGACCTTCACAGAGTTGGGCTTCTAGCTCTGCTTTCAGCGGAAATGGCCTCGATGGAATTGAAGGAGCGAGAGGCGAGGGAAGAGGCACTGCCACGCACCAGGGCCCCAAAGATCAGGCTTACCCCTGATGTCTGCACAGCAGTTCTCAAAGTGAGGTGTGTGTGTGGGGGGGTCTCTGGGGCACATGAGGACTGTTTCAAGGCCCACAAGAACCACAAGGAAATTCGTATTAGCCTCTCAGAGTGCCCCACACTGATCTACAGCCTAAACCCCTTTAACATATATTTATTTTTTGTTTTTTTGCAGCACCAAGGATTGAACTCAAAACTTTGCACTTGCGAGGCAGGCGCAGTACCACTGAGCTAAAACCCCCGCCTTTTTCTTTTGGTACTTGGGGTCAAACTTAGGACCTTGAAAGCTGTGCATGGTGGCGCATGCCTGTAATCCCAGTACTCGGGAGGCTGAGGGAGAAGAATTGCTGTGAATTTGAGACCAGCCTGTGCTACATAGTTCCAGGTCAGTTTTAATTACATAGTGAGACCCCGTCTCAAAAACAAAACAAAACAAAACAAAACAACAAACTTAGGACCTTGTGCTTATGAGGCAGGCAGTGGCACCACTAAGCTAAATCCCCGACTGTTTTGTTTTTTTGAAACAAGATCTCACTAGGTACTTCAGGCTGGCTTGGAACTTTTGTCAATCCTCCTGCCTCAGCTTGAGTACTGGGATTACATGTGTGCACCACCACGCCAGGAAAATATTTTATTCTAAGACAACATCTTGTTAAACTGCCTAGGCTGGCTTAGCCTAGAACTTGGAATCTTCCTGCCTTTACTTCCTGAGTAGCTGGGGTTACAGGTGTGTGCCAGCATGCCCAGCTACATACAAGGTGTGACTGAAAAATATAGTAAAGTTTATATTAAAAAGATAATACAGGGCCAGAGATTTAGCTTAGTGGCACCACACTTGCCTCACAAGCGCAAGGTCCTGAGTTCAATCCCTGGTACCAAAAAAAAAAAAAAGATACTACAAGGCTGGCAATTTAGCTTAGTGAAGGCACACTCCCCACACCCGCCCCAGTACTGGGAATTGAACTCAGGACCTTGTGCTTGTAAGGCAGGCAGGGCACCAGTGAGTTACATCCCTGGCCCTGTGCCACACTTTAAAAAACAACAAAAAAGATACTATAGGCCAGGTGTGGTGGTATATCTCTGTAAGCCCACACTAGGGAGGCTAAGGCAGGAGGAACTTGAGTTTGAGGCCACCCTGGGCTACACAATAGGGTGAAGACCAGCCTGAACTACATAGCAAGATCCTAACTCCAAAAAAAGAAAAAAAATTACAACAAAAACACTGCTTCAAAGGGTGGCAAGAACAATGGGTAAGTGCAAAGGCAGCATGTAAGGGCAGTATATTTTTTTACTGCAATAAATTTTAAAATTTCAGTATTTCAATCACACCTCATACTTTATTTTTCTGGTAGTAACTGAAGATTGAACTCAAAGCACTGAATTTGAGTGACTCCCCAGCCCTTATACTATTCTTTGTAAAAGGATTACCAAGTCCTTTTTAGTGTCTCCATTTCACAGTACCTGTGTAGACAGATGCTACCCACACAGACAAAGCTCTTTGGCTCCTCAGTAATTTTATGAGGAAGCCTCTGAACGTCACTGCTCGTCACAGGGCAGCCTGACTCCAAGCCTCAGACCTTGGTCCTGGTGGAAGGTGGGACACATACCTGCAGATTGGAGAGCTGCGTGAAGGCTTTTTCACAGCCTGGGTGTGCACATTTATATGGTCTATCACCGGTGTGGATTCTGCACAGGATGAGAAGAGAGGATAGAGAATGGGGTCAGCACGGCCGCTCAGGGACCGGGCTCCAGCACAGACCTGCACAAGGCCTGCCAGGTGCCCAGGAGCAGCTCTCAGGAGCCACTTCCCATCAGTCATTTCTGGCCTGAGTGGCCCTTCACGCCTCACTTCTGACCACTGCCTGCATGGCTCAGCTCAGGGTGAGTCCCTCTGCCCAGGGAAGGCCCAAGGCTTCAGCACCCAGGGTACAGGCAGCCCATGATCTGGCTTGGCATACGCGCCTGCTCCTCCGGCAACCACCCTAGTACACTCAGAGACGAAAGGTACCTGATCTCAGCCAGGAGGCGTGACTTAGAAACGCAAGGTGAACACAACGGCAAGGAAAAAGAAAAGCACAACATTCTTTCTTCTCGCTACAGCCAGAAACCACCCTCCATCTGGAGGGTCACTTCCAGAACAGGCTCTGGTAGCAGAGAAAAACAGAATTATCCTGACTGTGTGAAGCAGCAGGGATAATGAGAACTCATGGAGATCCAACGGGCCTTTCCCAGCTCTGCCTTCTCATGGATGGAAAAACCTGTTAGTACCAACAGCCTCCTCCCCAGCTCTCTGCTAAGCTGAGCCCAAGTCCAAGTCCTGAGGGACTGAGCTTGCTCTTCCTCACAGAGCTCAGAACCACCTCCTCTGGACCCTGCCTATCACATCTCTGCGCAGTGAACAGTCTGACTCCCCCTCTCCCAGTGAGGCATCTGATCTTTTTACGCTGACTGTTGCATCCACATGAAGCGGAGATGGTCTATGGGCTCCAGTTCAACTTGGCAGGCACGAAGGAGACCATCAGCTCTTCTACAGACAGGTTCCCTTCTCCTGGGCCACTTCAGATCTGTGGTGTGAGCAGTGGGGATCCTTGTGAAGTAGCAGCTGTTCCCTTTTCTGTGATATTTAGCAGGTGTTTTGCTTTGGTCTCAATTCCTGGCATCTCTTAGATCCTCGCTTGTTGCTGTGGATGTTACCGAGCTGGTTCCAGCTAATGCCAGATTCTATGTCCCGTTCCTAATCGGTGCTCTGAGGGACAGAGGCATGGTCCTCTCCATTGAAGTGACTCTGCTTTGGCATCAAAGAGGACATCTTGCAAGATGTGGACATGGGTATTTTCATGAAGAGAAGCGAGGGAGAGAAGCTGTTTCTGCTTCGGGTGTCTTCCTCCCCAGCTCAGGAACATCACATAGTGTATTTCCCAGAGTAGCTCTTGTCCCAGAAAGGTCTGCTTCAGCACCTGAGTCTCCACCGTGGATCTGTGGTCATCTTCCTCTCCATGTCAGCCGCATCCTCCTCCAGCCAGCCTCTCCCCCGCCCCCCGCATGCGGGTTGTTGTGTCCGGGGCGGGGGTAGGGAGGGCATGCCAGCGGGGCAGGGTCAGGTGCCCGCCACTCTCCCTTACCGTGTGTGCTGCTGGAGGTGGGAGAGCTGGCGGAAGGCCTTCTGGCAGTAGGAACAGTTGTAGGGCTTGGCCCCTGAGTGGATACGGAGGTGCTGGGCCAGGTAGGAAGTGTTGGCGAAGGTCTTGGAGCAGTGCGGGCACTTGTGGGGCTTGATGGTCTCCGTGTGCATCTTGGAGTGGATCCTGCCGGAGAGGAGAGGAGGGAAGGGGGAGGAGGGAGCAGTTCGACACCATGGGCTCTGCCCTCTGCCGGGTGAAATGATGCTGCTGGGTGGATGACAGCACCCCTCCTCCCTCCTCCCAAACGCTGAGGCCTGGAGAGGCTAACGTGGAGGATGCCCAAGTCTAGGCTGTTGCTGATCATAAGTCGGTGGCTAGAATGGCAGTGAGATGATGAAGAGCTGCGACCCACGGCTTCTGGTAGCATTAATACATCCAGTCTTGTCACCCTTGGCTTTTTCCTACGGCCACACACTCACCACAGACACCCTGCTTCCAAATAGCAATCTGAATACAGAGCAATACTGCCTGTTCCCCAGGGACCTCAAGTTGAATCACACCTTGGCTCTGAACTGAAGCATACAGTAAAACCAGGGCCTGCTCTGAAGAAGATTTCCAAACAGACAGAAACCACAAAAACTGTTCCAGAGTTTGGGGCTACAGAACACAATTTTCAAGGCCCCCCACACTGCTACAATATATAGTTTACTTTTTTCACAGATAATCACAGGAGAGAACTGAGGATCCCAAAGGACAAAGATGAAAGGCACAAAAGAACACATACAAGTGGAGAGGAGTCAGTGCAGGCCACAAGGCCTGGGGAGGGGACCACGGCCTGACAGAGTGTTGACCAAGAGCAGCCTTACCGGGTGTGCTGCTGGAGGTGGGAGAGCTGGCGGAAGGACTTCTCACAGAAGTTACAACTGTAGGGCTTGGCCCCTGAGTGGATACGGATGTGCTGGGCCAGGTAGGAGCTGTTGGCGAAGGTCTTGGAGCAGTGCGGGCACTTGTGGGGCTTGGTCTCGGTGTGTGACTTGGAGTGGATCTGCATCTCCGACTTTGAGTAGAATGTCAGGGAGCACATCCGGCACCTGAGCAAGTGAGGCAGCAGTTAGAACCCTTCCACAGGGACACTGCTGAGCCCCCCACAACCCAGAGAAGCCCACTGTCTGCCCTCTCTCCTATTCCAACTGTACCACGAAGCCCTTGAGCATGGTTCTTCATTATTCATCTTTACAGCCTAAGCTCTGACACAGTTCCCAGCACATTATAAATATTCAATCAATGTTTGCTCAATGACTGGACTCCCTACACATATGAAGACAAGAATTCAACCATGGTAAGGCAGAAAAATATGGGATCTGAGTCAACATGGCTTTTTCTGGGCCAGTAACATCTGTCTTGGTTTCAGACTTAAAAAAACTCCTTTCTCCAATTTCCCCATGTACAGCCCCATAGATGAAGAAGAACTAGATTCTCTCTTGTCTCTAGAGATTTTCCCTATTTCCTTTTGGCAGTGGTTCCTCGGAGGATGGAGGTGGACAGTCTCAGGATTATGTAGAGAGGCTTTTCTAATCCATCTGTGTCTGCCCTCTCCCTGCTGCTGATGGCCCCTCGATCATCTACCCCATCCTCTGCGGCCTCCATAAGCCAAGGTGGAGGTGGAGGAATGCCTTCACACCTTTAGGGAAAAGGGTTTGCTCGACAATGAACTTCCAGCTAAACGTCTCCTCTTTCCTAGTGCACAAAGCCCATGTCAGCACTCCAGGGTAGCATCAACCACACCTGGGGGCATTCCCGCATCACTGAGCTGGTGACACTTCTTCCATTATGACACTGGGTGAGTGAGCGAGTGGAGTGGAGCAGCCTGAGCAAGGTGGTGGTGAGAGCAAGGTTTTCCCCACTTTATTTATTTATTTATTTAGGGTTTTTTTGAGGCAGGGTCTCATTACATAGTTGAGACTGACCTGGAACTCACTATGTAGCCCAGGCTGGTCTCGAACTCACAGCGATCCTCCTGCCTGAGCCTCCCGAATGCTGGGATTACAGGTGTCCGCCACCACACCCGGCTAAGTTTTCCCCACTTTAAAAGAGGGACTTGGGGTGAGGTGGTGATAACTTCTGTATTTTTTTTTTTTCAGTTTCAGGAAAATTTTTAAAAGAATAACTGATGCCAAGACTCCAAAAACATTGAATTTGACAGAGAAAATGACCTTACAGTAGCTGGGTGTGGCCTCTATTAACATTGAAATTCCCATCCCTCAAGCCAGTTCATTCACATCCTCCAGTCACCTGGTAACTCTGATGAGGACAATTTTCACCTGGGGAAGGGCCAGCAGGCACCCAGGACAGCCAAAGGGAGCTAAGCCTTTCCCAGTTACAGAAAGGCACTAACACTACGGCCTCAGTGTTGACAGAGAAGCTTGTACTACCAAACATTTCACCAAGACCAAGGTTAAAGCTGGACCCCAGTGTCACTGGAAGGCAACTATACTAAGGATGTAGCAAAATTTTCCATGACTGCCAGAATCCAGTCAAGATAAAGAACAATGGCCAGGGACTGAACCCAGGGCTTTGTGCATGCTAGGCACATGCTCTATCACTGAGCTACATGCCCAGCCCGGACACCTTCATTTTAAATCAAATAAAAATCTCATTAGGCTTGCTTTTGAGGTGTTAAACACACTAACGTGCTCTTAATGTGAAAATTAATATAAAAAAGGAAACAACTCTCATCATCAAATTCTCCAATTACAGAGAAGCTATAAATACTGCAAAGCTTCAATTAAATGACAATGGACTAGCAAAAGAAAAAAAATGCAGTCTCCAAAAGTACAAAATATAATAGTAAAATAACAATAGTTGCTACTTCTTGTTGTGCCTGATACTGCCAGATACTGGCTAGTACTTTTTTTTTTTTTTTTTTTTTGGTACTAGGGATCCAACTTGGGTCCTTGTGCTTGCAAGGCAGGTGGCAGAACCACTGAGCTAAATCCCCAGCCCCAGTACTTTTTTTGTTTGTTTGTTTGTTTTGTTTTTGGTACCAGGGATTGAAGTCAGGTCCTTGCGCTTGCAAGGCAGGCCACCAAACCACTGAGCTAAATCCCACCACCTTTTTGAGATAGGGTCTCACTATGTAGTTCAGATTGGCTTTCAATTTGTGGCAATTCTCCTGCCTCAGCCTCTAAGTGCTGGAATTACAGGCGTGTGCCACCACGCATGGCACTGGCTCAGACTTTAAACACAGTTTCTGCTCCTCCCCATACCTGACAAGTTATTATCCCTGCCTGTTTTACAGAAAGGAACACAAGGGCTCAGAAGGCAAGTAGGAGAGTTGCTCCCTATAGAGCCATGATGCTAGAACTATTGAAGCAGAGGCTGGATGACTGTCCACCAGGTAAAGGGACTGCCTAGAGCCAGGGGACCATTAAAGTACAGGCTGAGCTTCCCTAACCCAAAAATCCACAACCTAAAATACTCCCAAATCCAAAACTTTGTAACTGACATGACATCACTGGACCTCGGGTGATGGGTGGCAGGCAGTCCATTCAGGCTCACTGCAAGTGTTGTATAAAATTACCTTCAGGCTATGTACATAAGGTGTACACAAAACAAATGAATTTCACATTTGGACTTGAGTATCATCCCTAAGAAATCTTAAGAATGTGCAAATATCCTAGAATTTGGAAAAAACCCAAAACACTTCTTGTCCCAAGCATTCAGAGAAGAGATACTCAACCTTTATTTCTAACTCTGAAATCCTATGAAGCCAAGAAAGCGTAAAATACCTCCCATGCAGAGTACTGGATGATGGAAAGAAATATGCTCTGGGAGAACCGGCAGTGGGCTCTGGCAGGGGACAGAAAAGCCTGCAGCCTACATCCGTGGGGACCCATTCACATCCGACACAGAAGGAACTCAGCCTTGGAGGCACACACCACAGTGATCTTGGACACAATGACCACCCTGAAACACTTTTTCCCTAAGATGTTCAAGACAATTTCAGATAATTTTCCCTCAAGACTTTTCCCCAAGATAAACGAGAGTATAACTGATCTTCTCACCACATACACTGAGTGAAGAGTCAGAATCACCTATACTGAGTAAAACAGTGTGTGCACTGTCATGGAGGCGGTGACCCCACATGGAAAAGCAGCATTCCTGTGAGTAAAGAGTCCTCTAGAACCCCATGCTAAGTTTCTGAAGGAATGCTGCGTACCTAAGACACAGTCAGTCACCCCCAATTTCACAGTTCCCTTTCATTGCCTGGGAGTGAGGTCTTTCGAGAATTCCGGAAACACTGAGGGTGTGAAGTCCTATCAGGCCTCCTTTGACTACAGTCATTATTTCTTTTCATACAGCTTGGGAAGTCCAGAGATAACTGTAACATGGACTCAGAAACCAAACAAAAACAGAAACTAAGAAAATCAGAGGACCTGACCTGTCAGAGGGCTTTGCCAGTGTCGGAGACGTCTCCCACTACTCTGCCAACCGTACATTTTACATAGACGACTCTCCATGGCACTGTGACCTCACTTTAATCACACACATAAAAATCTAGATTTTTACACAATAAACTTAAAAGGGGTTTTTTCATACTATGAATATATAAATGCTTTTAAATGAATCAAACTTGCCAGGTACCTTTATAACATAATATGCTGTAAAGACTTTCCAGGAATACTTATTGTGTTAAGTGGGATACACCTGTAATAATAAAGTTGCAATGAACTTCTGCATTATGACCTGGAATACTACTGTGCTCATTACTTTCTGCACAGCAACATTGTTTTCATGTATAGAGATTTAAACAGTGAAACTGTAGCTACTGCTTTCAGTAGAGCTATACAATGCCAATAAAGTAAAGGATAAGTGATGACTATTTTTTTCTTTCTGAAGTTCCCAACATTTCAAGGTTATGTGATATACATACTCCCAACGAATGGGAGACATAAACAGAATTTTCCCCATTTTACAGATGAGGAAACTGAGGCCCGGGGGAGGGGAGGACTTGCCCAGGGTCACACAGCAAGTTCGTTGTGGAGCCAGGAACTGAATCCATGAGCCCAAGGCTCTGTCCATTTCCTGTGCCGCAGTTCCCTTCGCTCCTAAAATGGGAACAACATTGCCCATCTCGGTACACTAAGGACAGATCCCATCTCCCAGCCATGCACACCTGTCTGTCTGCATCCAATCTGTGGGAGTGGTTACCCCACTCTGGGTACTGGGACCAAACCCCAAACCCATGAGGGCCCCTACAGCTCTCAAGAGGATTCAGACTTCCAACTTCCAAAGGCCAGGGCATTACTTATGTAATTATCTCTGTACAGCACCAGGTGCAAATGTGCACAGGATGCATTTTGGTAACGGGCCATGTTAGGGGAAAATAGAGGATCAGAATGATCCCCATGAATTAGAGAACAAGCAGTCATTTCACTGGCATATGTTCCTAAAGGGTGAGTACCCCATTTCTCCCACCTCTTTATGGAGACCTGTCCCATCATCCCAACCAGGAGGGGCCAGGCAGACTCCAGACTCAAACATGGCCCAAGAGCTGATGGACGGCACACAGGTTAATTAGGTGCTTACCAGAAAGTGCTCTTAGAAAAACAGAAATGGTAAATAAAGCAAAAAAAAAAAAAAAAAAAAGTTGCAGAGTCTCATACCCAGTCTTAAGCCTCATTATGAGAAACTCGTCACTCCAAAGTCAGTCATGGCCACTGACCACCAAAGTGGGGTTAAAAAAGGAAGAGGGGAGGGCTGCACTCCCTGGAGTGCAGCAGTGCTGCCTTCCCACCTACAGCAGAACCCTGACGTGAGTGTGAGCGTGAGCATGTGCAAGTGTGCCTGTGCATGCGCGTGCAGCTCTGAGCTAGAAAGCTGTCAGTCAAGCCTGGCTGGGCAAGACACAAAAAGCATAGGGGAAGTGGAGACCACTGCCCTCATCCCATCTTGTCTCCGGCTGAGTCCCACCTGTAGGTCTTGCCGTCCTTCTGATGGTCATCATCATCCTCCGGGGAGAGGACGTATGGGTCGCTCATCTCAGGCAGCCCTGACTCCAGCATCCGCTTCTTCTTGCGGCCCCGGGGGGGCTTAGGAGCCACACTGCCCCCTCCACCGCCACCTCCACCTCCTTCCTCGGTTAGGGTGGATGCCACCTTCTTGGAGAGATCAGGGACCACCTGCAGGGCTTGTGAGCCAGGGGGAAGAGCTGAGACAATCATGGGAGCCGAAATGGGGAAGCTCTGAGCTGACGAAGCTGTGGTCACAAGAGAGCCTGAGGGGGACGTGATTACCAGACCAGGACCTAGGGTCAGGAGAAAGAGGAGACACCGTCACATGTCCTGATCCAAACTGTTTCATCTTATCTCCCCCCAGCAGCTGTCTCATTAACCCTTCACCACCCACCATCCCACACTGTACAGGAAACCCCAAACCCTGTAGAAAAACAATGGTCTCCTAACCCCTGTCCCCACCCCCCAGTAACAGTGAGATTTACCCCTTGATTGACTCCCTTCTCTTCTCCACCTCTGAGAACAGGAGACTCCTTGATTCAGAGAAGGAAAGAATGTCACCTCCTCAAAGGCAGGGACCGCATCTTCTACTTCTTTGTATCCCCCACAATGCCTAGCACATTGCTAGGTACACAGTAGGCACTTAATAAAAATCTGATTGAGCAATCAAACATACCCCCCACACCCAAGTCCTCAGAGCCCTCCAGCCTGGGGTCCTGATCACAGAAGATCAACACCTCAGATTGGAGAAGAGCAGAGGTGCTCACCAGCAGTCATCAGTCCCGTGGACGGCACCGGGACCACCGTGATATTCTGGGTGACAGACGCTTGGCTGTGCGGGGTGAGTTGCTCTGACTTGGACTCTGTGTCCATGCTGATGCCAGAGGGCAGAGACACTGAGGCAGGCACTGTGAGCAAGGTGGGGTAGTGAGGTGGAGCCAGCCCACAGCCCTTCTCTGGCAACAGCTGATCCTTCATCTTGTTGATGAACATTGTGTTCTCGATCTAGAAGAAAGCAAGGGGAATAAGTCCTCCTCAGATCCAGTCGGATTTGCCCGTTTCCTAAGTGCTTTCCAGTCATTCCTCCTTGGAGCCCAATGAACAATGAAGCAATCTAGATCTTTGTGCTTCCACACAGAAGGAAGCTGAGACAGAAACCCAGCGAGCACCCAGGGCCGGGCCTGGCTGACAGACCGGCGCGAGGCTGACGTCACTTCAGACTCCAGTCACAGGACATGCTAACTCCAAGAAGGAACTCACTCCCCAACATGAAAGCAAACACCACCTACCTGTCCTGAGACTGTGGGGATAGAAGGCCAGAAGTACGGGTTAGAATTGAAGTGAGATTCTTCCATTCTACCTGAAGAAAGAAAGGAAGACCACATCACACCCCACTCCCAGGAAGGCCTGCCCAAAGTCAGTGATGGAGAAGGGGGCTGAGGTGCTGCTGGTCCCTTCCTGGCACCTGACGACACCCAGGAATCAGCATTCAGATGGCGTCCACTTGAGAGTGCCCTGGTCATAGCCATTCAGCACACATGCCCTCTCCATCCCAAAACAGCTGCCTTAGCTAATGCTTGTGACAGAATTGCATATTCCTCACAGAACCACAGGTGCAACAAACTCCAAGGGAACACAAGTGGCACCACTATCCTTTGCTGACAAGAGAAACGAGGTCATGAGAAGGGCATGTACCCAAGGTCACATGAAACAAATAACCAAGCCGCCTGGAAACAGCCACCATATCTATCATTGTTCCCCTTTCCTTTACCCCTTATTCCACCCTCCTGGAAAAAAAGGCTTCAAAACTCTCAACCAACATGTGTACAGTTCTGTACAGCTTAAAAAGGTTTTTGGCTCCAACAGTAAACGCTCAAGTTAATAAGGAATTAGACCAACAGAAATGAGAACCAAGGGATTTTTGAGTACCAGGCTAATATATGGGGACATCACCATGCAGACCCTGCCAAGGCCACAGAACACCGTTTCACTGGTGCAAGCAAGACATGCCAGGCTAAACAAGAGTTCTGGTGCCACAATGATGCCCTACAGTTCCACCTAGTGGGTTTCAGAACAATACTAGACTCTTGCTTTGTATTTTTTCACTTGGCTTCCAAGAATTCAAATTCTTCTGTTTATGATTAGAATTAAAATTCTGTAAGGAGCCAAGCAGGATGGCACACTTGTAATCCCAGCACTCAGGAAGCTGAGGAAGGACAACTGTCAAGAGTTTGAGGCCACCCTGAGACCAGCTTGAGCTACATAGAGAGACCCTGTCTACAAAGCAAGAAATTTTGTAAAGAGTAAGAACAAGAGACATAATCCCTCAGAATGACATGATTAGGTCACAGAGCACACAAGGTCCAGGCGCCCTGCCACTCCTTTTCACTCTGATCACTTCTCCAAGAGACTTTAGTCAAGAGGGGCTCCCCCCAGTTTTGAACCAGGAAAGACCCAACTTCACACAAGATAGCAGAAAAGAGCACACAACTGGGGAATGGAGAAACAAGGAACTCTTTCCAGGTGGTGGAACCACTGAGCTAAATCCCTGGCTCTAACAAGGAACTCTTTCTTGGAAAGAAACATTATCACCACAGAAATGATGCATGTTTAAAGGATGGGAAATGCTAATTATGCTGACTTAACCATTACACACGGCATACATGCATGCAAATATCACACTGTACTCAATAAATATGTACAATTAGTATGTGTCAGTTAAATTTACTGGCCAGGTATGGTGGCCCAGGCCTGTAATCCCAGCAGTCTGGGAGGGTGATGCAGGAGGATCACAAGTTTGAGCCCTGCCTGGTCAATTTAGAGATTTACCAAATAAAAAACAAGAAAGGGCTGGGAGTATAACTCAGTGTGAAAGCCCTGGGTTCAATCTCTCCTACTGTGTTAAAAAAAGGAAAATCACCATGAGCAACCAAGGCTCAGGAGGGAGGGAGGGAGGGAAGGAAGGGAAGGAGGGAGGAAGCCTCGTGGCTCTGAGCTACATGCCAGCACTGAGGACACAGGGGCAGCAGAGCCCAGAGCCTCGCGGTGCAGGACGGGGCACAGAAACCGCGTTTCACACATCGACGGCGACTGAGCGGAAGGGCACAGCTCTGAACACCATTCTGGGCCTCGTCCTCTTCAGAGGGTACTGCGCGCTTTACTCTACGACCAATCTTCATAAAATCTACAAAGGGAAGGAACAATTTCAGCCTACTTTTTCGAAAAGTGGCAAAAGGCATAAGGGCACCTCATGTGGGACTCCAGCAGCTCATGCTGCAGAGGCGCAGCAGCAGCACAGGCGTCGCTGCTTGCACGCTGTGAAACACAGCTGCTTGTGGCGGCCGGCGCATAGGCCGCACCCCAGACCACAGCGCAGATGCTCAATTCCTTCGGTCACACAGCACAGCGTCCGCGAGCCACATATGCGGGCAGCACACTTAGAACAATCTCCAGGGCAACTACTGATGCCACTGCG